GGCGCCCCCGGGGGCGGGAGCCTTCAGCGTGACTTGGTTGCGGAGCTCTGTTTTGCCCAGGCCTGGGCCTTCCAGATCCTCTCAGATCCCACAGGGGCCAGCGCCATTTGGGTTGCGAAGCGCTTGCCCGACGACCAGATGACTGTGGTTGCCTGGAACTTAAGCCACAGCCGAAAGCCGTCTTCGCCTTTCGGGTAGAGCCGGTAGAAGGGAATCTCCCGGAGACCAGGCAAACATGTACACGATCCGCGAGGTCAACGCTGACGACAAGGCAAGATAGTTGTTGATTTGCAAGGGGCCATGGCGTCGGGACTTGTCGAGGACAATTTCATTGTGTCGCCGAACCTTTTTGACGTGGCGAGCAGCAAGGGGTGGTCGCTTAACTGGCCAATCATCTGTCTTGGGTATAGCTGTGTGTCGGGTGTTTTGTTGAGCTGTGTGGCTCTTGTGTTCTGTCCCGAGGTGGAAGCAAGGCCAGGCCTTCGATTTCACGTTGATGTATTCGGGCGGGGAGCATCTTGTCAGAACTGCGAAGCAGACTTCAGAGATTTGACAGTGGCCTGGGCCTGTCCTTTCGAATCAGGTATGCCCACAAATACTACTCCGGCCGACGGATGTGGCGAGGCTTGCAGATGGCAAAGCCATCCCTCAGCGTGCCAACCAGTTATGAGGACTGGTGGAGATGTCCAGTCGTTGGGCGGCGGGCCTTTGCAGAACCAGTCCAGTCCGAGCCCATGAATATCGATGTGGTCCATGAACATCCCACGCAAGCCCAGAACTCCACAGGCCCCACATCCCGAAAGCCCAAACTGCTCTCAGAGGACATCCGGTACAAGCCCGTGTATCCTTGGTCGGTCGCGCCCGACGCCAAAGTCTCCCATCACGATCTCATGTCCTGGCACCGAGACTGGCGTGGGACCCAGCCAGCGGTTCGGGGGCACTGACTGTAAGAGCAACGGCCGACGGCTGCATGCCTGGCCGGAAGGTTGACCACACTAGGAATACGGGCATATGTACAGTATGTTCATGATCTTTCTGCTCCAGACCAGTTGACTCTGAGGTATGCTGGGACGGAGTTCGACCTGTCCTTGGCTTCACTTAGCTTCGAGCGAGATTCGCCGGCACCCCAACACCAATCCGCCTGAGAACTAAGGATATGACGAAAGGCGTTCAAGCCGGACCTTTCGGAACCCCGGACAGGTACCAGACGACCTCCAAGGCACAAGGGGCGGGAATGTGTGTGTGTGTGTGTGTGTGTGTGTGTGTGTTCATGTGCATGTGTGGGTGTGTTTGTGTGCGCGTGCGCGTACGCGAGCGCGTGCGTGTAGGTGTGTGGGAGAGAGAGTGTGGGTCTGTGTGTTTGGTTTGTCGCGCGCACACACACACACATGCATGTGGGTAAAGTATCGTGGTCAGTCAAGACAGCGCGCTGCACAGGGGGAAAGCCAATGCGTTCCATAGATCTCCAGCTCGCGGCAGCTGGCGTGTACTTGGCTTTTCGGAACCGTCGCTGCCCGGCGTCTACTGGAGGATTCGTTTGATGTAGTTTGATACGTACGTGCTACAAAGCCATTCTGGCACTTGGATTGTCATTGTCTGGAGCAATGAGCTACTGACTCCTTTGCTCCCAGCCTGTTGGAGCTTGCGGTGAATTGGGGGAATTCGGCACAGTTGAAAAGGAGAGAAGTTGCTAGGACGTGCTGGATGGTTGATTCCTTGCGTTTGTATTGTTTTTCGCGCGTGGTCACTGGTTCTTGTCATCTAGGTATTTTGTCCCTTTCTTTCCATTCGTTCGTTCGGCATCCAGACACGGGGAACAATTCGGGAACATGCGGTTGGGGTTGGCTTCCTCGAACTTCGAACACTCTCGAGGTTCGTGGAGTGCTCTGCATGCACAATGGCAGTCGCAGGAGATGCGACTGCCACAGAAGTTGTCAAAACATGCTTGATCGTAGATGCGTTTACATGAGCGACCATGTAAAAAAGGGGTTCTCCTCGTCCGTGCGTCGTTGTTGTTGTTGTTGTTGTTGTTGTTGTTGTTGTTGTTGTTGTTGTTGTTGTTGTTGTTGTTGTTGTTGTTGTTGTTGTTGTTGTTGTTGTTGTTGTTGTTGTTGTTGTTGTTGTTGTTGTTGTTGTTGTTGTTGTTGTTTTGTTGTTGTTGTTGTTGTTGTTGTTGTTGTTGTTGTTGTTGTTGTTGTTGTTGTTGTTGTTGTTGTTGTTGTTGTTGTTGTTGTTGTTGTTGTTGTTGTTGTTGTTGTTGTTGTTGTTGTTGTTGTTGTTGTTTTTGTTGTTGTTTTTGTTGTTGTTGTTGTTGTTGTTGTTGTTGTTGTTGTTGTTGTTGTTGTTGTTGTTGTTGTTGTTGTTGTTGTTGTTGTTGTTGTTGTTGTTGTTGTTGTTGTTGTTGTTGTTGTTGTTGTTGTTGTGTTTTTACCACTTGTTCGTTTGGCAGCCAGACACTGCCGGGCAGCAGTTCTGGAACATGTTGTTGGAGTGTGATTGGAGCTTTTCGATTTCGAGTGCTCTCGGGCTTGGGGTGTTCGGCACAATGATACGGGAGTCGTTGGCAGGTTTTTTGCTCTTTGCACGGGGGGAGGCTATCGTTTGCATCACTGCGAAGAAATGCACGTGGGTCGATGTCCACAAAGAATCCGCGTGTCGTCGCCGGACCTGGCATCCAAACATCAACCGGTTCGGTTACCACGATGGAGTTTTACACAACGGAGCCGTAATCAGAGTGTATCCAAACATCGACCGTTGGAGCTTCCACACTGGGTTTTGGATTTCGGAACCGGGCCTGGCATACCTTGAAACGCAGACTGCCTAGTGCAAGGAGGTGCTCAGGATGTAGGCTCTACGACGTACGGCTTTATGCGGTTCTTACTTTCCCCCGTGGCCGCAGGTCCAGGGCCATTGGGAAAGGTCGATAGCCCTCTATCGCACCAATGCCGTTTATGTCCCTCGGATCTCCGAGCCGTTTGCTGTGCTGCGCAGTGCTGTGGTCACTTCAAACTCCTGACTTGCAGAGATGTCGATGTAGTGAGGTTCAGCAGCTGCACCATCCGGGTGAGGGCCGTCCCCAAGGCCCAACTATCCTTGCCAGTGCTAATGACTTTCAGACATTGCCATGAACACTTGCTTGCAACCTGCAGATCATATGTTTAGAGTTACAGTATCTACAGTTACTTGCTTGCTTGCAGAAGGGAATCTTGCAGGGACTGCGAGCGTTGCGTGGTATGCAGCCGGGCCTCCTCACTACGCGGCCACCTGGATGAGAAGCGGATTATGTGAGAAGATGGCACACGGCACGCCGAGCAGGATGGAGCAGGCGAGACTGCTCACCGCATGCTTCAATTTCAACCGAGGCATTCGTGCCCATCCCGTCTGGAGTGAACGAGACCATCCACGCCCTGCAGTTTGCGAACCCAAAGCAATTTGAGAATTACTCGATGAATTGGCTCGTTCGCCGAGTGATGGATGCTGCTTGGTGGCACTTACAGTCTGTCGGGCGCGAGCTGCGCTCTCCATGCTCTTGTTCGGTACACTGATGACGTTTCCCAACATCAGAAGATATCAGAAGAAAGAGACTTGTGTAATGCCTCGGTCAAAGCACGCGTGACTGACAATAAGCTGGAGACGGCCAAGGAGGTAACTTCAGAGTGTTGCAACATGTTGCCAATCTGCCCTCTTCTGGTGACTGCGTAGCAAATGTTACTTCTCATGTCGACTTTTCCTGGAAGAAGGTATGTCAAATTCGCTTCGATGTCATGCACAACCACGTCAACACCGCGCAGCAGGCCGCGCTGTTGCAGGTTGCTGCTTCTGCCACCAGTCGAACTCACCGAGTCATCAGACCATCGTACCTGTTACACAGAAGTCTTTGGCTCCAGGGCACAATCACCGAAAAAGTCTGGGTGCACGACCTTCCCCAAGTTGGGCCCGTCCTCGCCCAAAGGCCGCGGAGACTGAAGCGGATGCGTTGCTGGAGAAAGCAGCTTGGACTGCCGTTTGCGTGTCCTGTGCATTGGAGCCGACAGGCAGAAGCTCGAGTGTTCTTTGCGTAGCATGCGCTAACAGAGAGCACGGCAACTAAAATGTGGGGTTAGCTATTGGATCCGTGCGATCCTGAGGTCCGCCAAGCTGGCACCACCAGCCTCCTAGCAGCAAGCAAACCTGCTTTCGCTCTTTCAGTGACATACTTGATTCTTGCAGTGCCTTCGACAGGTCCAGTCGAACTCAGCAAGATCTTCCAGGAGCATGCTAGCCAGGAGGGGCATGCACTCGTGCTTTGCAACGTCGTCAAGCCTTGCCGGCTGTTGCAGGTGCTTCAAACGTGGAAGAAGCTGATGCCATATCTGCTCTTCCGCTTCAGCTCTTCGGTCAAACGTTTGGTATCTCCGGTTTCGCTGTTACGGTGCCATCCCTGTTTCACAACAGGCGGCAACACCGACATTGAAACAATGCAGAGCCTGAGCTATCCAGATGCTTGGCTGGAGGCGTCAGGCTACAAGGAGAGCGCTGTGATTCGCATGCTTGGCGTTCTCTTGGAGGGGGTGCTTGCGGGTGCACAGCAGCCGTCAATCTTCGTGGTGTTGGCAGGATGGACCGCCGGATGCGCCGAAGGAGGACAAGTGTCCTCCGAAGTGTGATCCGGATGCGGAGAACGTCGTGGTTTGAGCCCTGTACATAGACCCGCCTGTACTTGGCAGGTGGGGGCTGAGTCCGCAAACCCGTGCCATCCTCTGACTCTAGCCTCCCGGCGGAAGCCTTGGCCCATCCTCATCCATCGATGTTTATGGAATCTACTTCTCTTTCTGCTCGCGAGGAGACTCAAGTAGCTGTAAGCAAGAAACGGAGAAGGGCTGCTCCAGTCTCAAGGTGCCGAAAGGATCGCTTGGGCAAGAGGCCCATCTCGCACCGGAAAAAGCTGTCCCTTCCTGTCTTGTTGCAGCTCCTGGTCCCAACTGTCCTCAGTGCGAATATCTTGTCGATGCAGCTGCCAGGATTCGAGTCAGATGGGCATTTGCGCACAGGGCCCAGCAAAAGAATCGGCGGAGCAGACAGGCACGAATTTCAATCGATGAAGGCGTCTCGAAGAGAGCATATGTGTCCGACACACTGCTCACACTCTCACACACACATACGCACACAACTACACCTGCCGATAATTACCCAGATGAATGCAAGACAACGAAGCATGTCAACAGCCTGGAGGCTGCTTCGTACTACCTGTACTTGTAAGAGCCTGCACGTCAGTACGATAGGGCGACGCTGAGACGATTCCGGCCAGATGATGATGAGATCGCCTCATGCAGACTAGATCACGACTGGACCTGCTGACCACGAGTCTTGCAGCTGCGGCTGGGTCCGAGGTTTGCAGTGGCCGCCAGCGTGCCAACAACCACGCCGCCAGCATTGCAGCCGGTGGGGAGCTCGGGATAGTGGCTCCGAGTGGTTCCTGGGTCTCGTTCGGACCTCCGGAACACCACCTCCAGAATAGGCATCAGGGAGAAGCCCGTGAGTATACAGCACGTGCCAGATTGCAGCAGTAGCTATTTGAACTGATCTGCTTTAACAAAAACTTGGACTGTTGCAAGCCTGTGTTGCGATAAAATCGCAATGCACTCTTACACAATGACATGTCTTCAGCTTTCATATCTTCTAGCCTGTAGGGTGGGGGGTCCTTGTATGGCAGGACATACTGTGAGATGTTGCGTTGCAGGGTAGCTTTAGACATGCAGTATGCACCGATGTTTCCGAGCTATCGCAGCTTAGCATAACACACCGCGGATACACAATTTGCACTTTTGGCACAATACGTTAACATGTTTCAGAGACATGTTGCATCGTCTCGCAAATCCTATGTGCAGGACTGGTCCGGATCAGCGCAGAAGCGCAGGTGATGAGCCTTCTGGGTGGTATTGCCAGGCACTGAGGCTACTGCAACGGCAGCCTCGCAAGAAAGCGCGAAGCCACCGTGCAGAACTGAAGTACACGCCCTTGCTGCTTGCTGTGTTCTGTATTGACGTCAACGCAGGCTTACCATGTCGTCGCTCCATGGCGCGTGCCGCCCCTGGCTGCGCGGTTCTGGAGAGATTTTGAAGGGCATCGTAGTGACACATGTTTTGCTTGCAGCTAATATGATGCCATGGCTTACAAGGTCATCTCGGCTGCAGCGCTGCAACTGCAGGCTTGTTGATCCCGTCTGTTGCATTGCCGTGTCGCACACTCTGGCAGTGCCAGCTTGAAGCCCCGTAATTCAAGGCTGGCGCAACTTCAGCACAGATTGCTGAAGCAGTCAACGTTGCTGCAAACAGCCATGCACTCAGGTTGCTGTCAAATCACAAGCCAGCCATGATGCCACTTGGGCCGTTTCAGGTGAAGGCGCGTTCAGCATCTCCGGTGAACAGGACACCCCGCGCAAGGGCACAGGGATGTTTCCATGCAACCCCTCTCCGCTATTTCGCGTCCCTTTTTGGCCAGGCTGCCTATGCCGGGCACTTCTTGGCGTCTTCTCTTGGTCTGAACGGTGTGCAGCCCAAGTGACAGTAGACCAGACTGTTGGTGACCGGAGAGCACATTGGTTTGCCTGGTTTTGTGTTTCTCCGTTTTGAGATTGTTCTTCCAGACCAACCCTGGGCATCATGCAATCTCCCAGCCGTAGCACTTGCTGTGATCTCCTGGCCCTAGAGCTTCAAAGCATCTTCAGCCAGGAAGGATGAAATTACTGTCGAGGGTCGCTGAAGGCTACAGGGCCCAATGGTCGCACCTAGTGGGGCAAGGGACGGGTCAAGCTTTCTGGGTGTAGGGTTTCTTTTTGACCGTTCGCAGGGTTTTCTGGAGCCAGTCTCGAAGCGTGGCCAAAGGTATGTAGAAAGCACTGCTCGCCCAGGAAGTTCTTCTCTTGCAGCTGCTGTGGAGGTGGAGTTCGTTGGGCTTGGCGGGCTGTGCGGATTTTGCATTCAAGGTTGGGACAGGCTAGGGCGGCTAGGGAAGGGCTTTGGGGACTCATCGCATTCTTGGAATCAGGAGATATCAGGAGATGCTTTTCGAGATGAGCGCTCCAGGTAATTCCGGTCTTGGTCGTTCCGTCGTTTAGCTTCGTTCACTGCCGCGTAGCAACGACAGCGAAGCGTGCTTCCTGTCCTCCGTGCCCTTCTGAGTAGTTCTCAGATTGTCTTTGTCCTCGTTTTTTGCGTGCTGTGCGTGCGTCTGCTCGACATTTCAGGGTGAGACCCGTCCTGCAAGCGTCCAGCTTCACTCCGCGTCTCTGAGAGGCCGCCAGTCTGAGGGACCCAACGGGAAGGCTGCAGCACCTCACGGCCAGCTGCCGAGGGGCAGAGTGGGTGAACTTGAATTCGGCTTCAACAGCAAAACCATCATCACGACATCAGCAGCATGCGGACACGCAGAGGCTGCCAGACACGAGCTTCCGAGGATCGTTTCATCATCCTAAGGGTGCACCGCACAGACCTAGAGCACCAGAGCTTTCAACGCGCATGCTGCAAGCAACAAGGAGAGACATAAGCTGCGCAGGTTTTCGAAGGCTCAGAGCTGCCATTCTAAGTCTCGGGACGAAGAGACTTCAACTTGAATAGTTGCAGTCATTGCAGTAGCTCTCATTGGGTCAATGACAGTTCGACGTTGCAGCACGGGCTGCTCTTCGTGGCTTGGGTAGTCGCATTAGAAGCAGGAAGTGGAAGCAGCAGTCGTTGTGGTCGTAGTGGTGGTAGAAGTAGTAGTAGTAGTAGGAGTAGTAGTAGTAGTAGTACTACTAGTAGTACTAGTAGTACTAGTAGTACTAGTAGTACCTGTTAGTACTAGTAGTACTAGTAGTACTAGTAGTACTAGTAGTACTAGTAGTACTAGTAGTAGCAGTAGTAGTAGTAGTAGTAGTAGTAGTAGTAGTAGTAGTAGTACTAGTACTAGTACTAGTACTAGTACTAGTACTAGTACTAGTACTAGTACTAGTACTAGTACTAGTACTAGTACTAGTGCTAGCACTAGCACTAGCACTAGCACTAGCACTAGCACTAGCAGTAGCAGGAGCAGGAGCAGTAGCAGTAGTAGTAGTAATTAGTAGTAGTAGTAGTAGTAGTAGTAGTAGTAGTAGTAGTAGTAGTAGTAGTAGTAGTAGTAGTAGTAGTACTAGCAGGAGTAGTCGTAGTAGTAGTAGTAGTACTACTACTACTACTACTCCTACTCCTACTCCTACTCCCACTGCCACTGCCACTGCCACTGCCACTGCCACTGCCACTGCCACTGCCACTGCTACTGCTACTGCTACTGCTACTGCGATGACGACGACCACCACCTCCACTACACAGCACTACTGCACTACTATGGCTACTATGTCGACGAATACTATTGACGATGAGTGCGGGTAAGCACAGCTACGCAGGATCAAGTACTGTTGAGGGGGATGTTTCGCTGGGAATAGGAAGCAAGATTCTGACGCAGCAAGGCGGTGCTGGCATTCCGCGGAGTTCCTGCAGAAGAGGCATTCACCCGATTGCTGTTCTGCTCGGTCGACTTCGTGCTGCTAGGGCATGTCTGGGTTATTGCGGGCGAAAGCTAGGGCACGCAGGGGAATAGCTTTCCACTTCCGCATCTTGCACGGACAAAACATGTTCTGCAGGCTAACCCAGTTCGGCTTTGGCTTGTGGTTGGTGCTTTTGTTCTGCATGGTGTTTCCAACAGAAGTCATGTCCAGTAGGCGAGCCTATGCAGACATGTTTCTTGTACGTGGCTTTCAAGCTGTTGTGTGCTGATCTGCTGGTCTTCGATCGCCGAATGACTTGTCAGCAACCATAGAAACGAAGCCGGACAGTGGGAAGGACGGTTGTCCGAAGCAACGCAAGGCAAGCACAAGTGCATCCAAGGTTGCACAAGCGCACCTTGCCGACTTGCCATGGGAAACTGGCCGTGCATTGAGGAGCCTGGACCGGGTGCTCCCAAAGTCACAAAGGTGCACGAGAGCTTCTTCCCCATGTACTTGGTCAAGGCCTGTCGGTAAGTTCTAGAGCGTGAGAGTCTGCCATTTGAAGCCCCTCCTCAAAACGATTTCAGAGCCAAGGTGTCGGACTTCCTTGCCATGGAAGGGGTTCCGGAGTCGCACGACCGTCTAAAACAGCGCGGTCTCCTCCACGAGTACAATCCCAATGCGGGAATGTTCACAATTTTTGTGTCGCACCAGTGGCTGGGACGGAAACATCCAGATCCGACAGGCGAGCAAGTTTCAGTATTGAGAACGACGTTGAAAAGTCTCATCGACGGCTCGTTAACGATTGATCTCGACCTGGTTTCCACCACGAACGGTCAGCAAAATCGTTTCACTCCCCAGACCCGGCAGCAGGTAGAGAGTGGATTCCTCTTCTTTGATTGGTTTGCGATCCCACAAATAACAGCTCGTGCGGAGGGGGTGAATGAAGAGGTCACGAAGTCGGATGCAGCACGTGCTGTGAACAGCATCCCTTCCTACGTCGAGGTAGCGAGCCTGTTCATTGCACTCGTGCCCTTCGTGCCGGACAGGGACAGACAGGAGTGGTGCTCATACACGACTTGGCTTGCTCGTGGTTGGTGCAGGCGAGGTGAGCTTGCAACGGGTTCTCCTCAGTCTTTCGGGAATTCGTGCTGCTTTACCGGCAGCCACCGCAGCATTGATGGTCTGCCTTGCATAAGGTTTAACTTCAGTACCAGTCATCCTTGCCGTAGAAGTCCTGGATAAGACTGGCATAGTGGAAAAGTTCAGGTTTAGGGAGAAATGGAATCATAAGCGTGGGAAAGCAGCACTAGCAGTAGCGCAGAGTAGCACATGCAAATATGTTTGCCCTGCCACCCTGCATGCTTGGTGCAGGGCAGAACTTTGGCTTCACATGCTCTCCAGCAAGCCGGATACGAGCGTCATTCTCGTAACGTCTGTGACAGAAGCCAAGTTCATGTTTCCCCTGGACTGGTTAGAGAGCCTCTGCTGCAATCATGTAACTATTCCGCTTGCGCACAGCGGAACACAAAACGCCTTCTTGCAAGCCCAGGAATACAATTGATAGCGGAGACTTCACTGTCGAAGAAGACCGCGAGGTGGTTGTCCAACTTGGACAGAAAGCACTCGAAAGCAGAATCTGTGAGCTTAGGGACTCCGGTCCTCTTAAGGCCTTCCGCTTCTATCTGGCGCGCCGGTCCAGGATGTTAGGGCAAAATCGATCGGAGTGGGGCGTACAAGAGTTCTTGAATGTCTTCCAGTTCACTAGTCTTGAGGAGGCTGCAACAGATCAGAGCAGCATGAACGGTTTAATGTGCGCAGTATTCAGCAGTGATAGCGGGATGATTCGAGAGCTTGTCCGCAGCAGAGCCGATGTAAACTGGAGGTCTCATGGCTTAGGAAAAGCTGGGTATTTTGATGGACAGACCGTACTTATCTGTGCAGCAAAGTCCCACCAGCCGGCCCGTGTCCTGGCCACCCTGATTGAGCTGCATGCAGACGTCCACGCCACGATCGACAATGGTTCCACTGTTTTGCCCATGGTGCGCTCTCCTGAGCAGCTAGAGGTGGTCATTCAAGCAAGGGCAGATCTCAATAAGGTCACTCACCCGATGGGAAACACTCCGCTCGGTGGTGCCTGTGGCATGGCCAACTCTGAGACGATCGCAGCGTTGCTGCAGGCGAAGTGCAATCCGAACCCTCCCATGCGTGGCCACGGCTTGAGCCCCTTGCACAACGCGATCTTCTTCTCTCGGGGCAACAGGTCTGCTCTGAGGAACGTAGAGTTGCTGCTCGAGCACCGCGCCAATGTGAATGCCATCGCCACTCCGACCGGAGTCTTCAAATGGGGTTGCCAGGTGGCCAGGGTCTATGAAGCCGTCTTGGGGACCTCCAGGTGCAGTTTTCGCACGCGATGCTTTGCCATCCTCCCCAGCATATCGCCGCTAGGTATCGCATCTTTCATCGGCGACCCGGACTTGGTGCAGATCCTGCTCGACTTTGGCGCCGACTCTTCCGTGCCCAACACTCGAGGAGACTTCCCTGAGGATCTGGCTACGGTGAACGGCCACCTTCACCTACTTCCCATCCTTCGCACCTTCCATGTCTAAGACAGAAGATCACCCGCTCGGACAGGACATAGGCTGTGTTTACTTCTCGACACCCGGCCGCAGCAGCTTTTTTCCGGGGTTGTTAGCCAAAGCCGCACTCCCCGATGTGTCTTGTCATGTCTACAAAATGTGGATGAAGTACACAGTACACCTGGACTGGAACAATTGGTTGCAGTCTTAATGACGTGTGCAGAAAGAGAATGGTCCTGAAGCTGGGCCGGGGGATGGCACGAGTCAATGGCAGGCCAATCTCCGTTCACATCAAACGTAACAGGTGATCCCAGCTTACCAAGACTCTTCGAATCAATCCACTGACCATGTAGAGCTTCGAGCTTCATCCAGTTGTGCCAGTTGCAGAACTAGAGCTTACCACTCCAGCGTACCCGAGTTCTGAACCCTGGACTCCCAGACTTCACAGTCTTTGATCGTGGTCATCAACCTCTTGCAAGGCCCTCAACCAGACGATCGCCGCGATGCCGCCTAGCTCAGCAGTAAGAGCTGTCCACTAGTGGGGTCAGTACAACTGCTGCTCTGCTAGGTTGTCGGCTCTCCCGCAAGACTCAACCGAAGCGCTCATTCAGGCCTTTTAGGGCAGCTTGGCCACTTCTGAGACGAATATAGAGATTTGTGCAGGGGGTCTGGTGGTACCAGCTCTTCCTGGAGGGGGCCGTCCGGCGCGGTTCTCAGATCCAGGTCCAAAGTCTTCCAGAAGCTGAGCTGCGGGAGGCCATGGCGTCTTGGCGACCTGAGAGATGCCTTCGAAGGCCAACCGCTTCCTTTGCACGGGAAGAGGCCAGGGGAGAGCCGGCTGAGAGGCGTGGCGCCGAGCCAGTTTGCCCTGCTGGATGCAGCGGCCCGGACACGGGCCGTACTGGCATGGGTCTCAGTCGTGCCGGGCCACGCTTGCGCGTCTTGGATGGGACACTTCGGCATGAGGTGGCAGAGAGCGGTGTGACGCTAGGCCGGAGCCTGAAGAGAGCAGCTTTTGTCAGCCTTTGAGACGCTTCCTGTCAGGTGATGCTGTGGTCACGATTGCAAGCAGCTTGCCCAGCACATCCTCTCCACTCCAAGTTCAATCCAACAGTGCTGCTGGAATTGCTGCTGGATGCACGCATTGTTCAGAGGATATTTCTACCAGTTCACCATGTGCCACCGCAAAGCGACCACTACCTCGACTCTGTCCCAATCACTATAGGATGCGAAGTCATGTCACGTAACTGCTTTGACTGACGAGGTGCAACCAATCATACAGGGCCGGAGGAGGTTCAACATGCCGCTTATGCTGCTGCACTCTTGGTCTTAGCCCCAGTGATGACTGCAGTGTTGTACATTGGCTAAGTTTCTACCTGGTCTCCAGGCCGCAGTGTTCGCGTTTGACGAAAGTCTTCGGGTTCACTGCCACTGTTGGTGCTGTTGCTAATGCTGCCGCCATAGGGACGATGCCGACGGCGGCGGCCGCGGCTGCTGCTACTACTACTACTGCTACTACTACTACTACTGCTGCTACTACTACTACTACTACTACCACTACCACTACTGCTACTGCTACTAAGACCACAGCGACGACGACAACTACTACCACGACTGCCGTCGAAACTGCTGTCGTTGCTGTTGCTGCTGCTGCTACTGCTGCTGCTGCTGCGGCTGCTTCTTGTTCAGGCATGTTGCTCTTGCTACCATGTGTCCCGGTCCGGGCCGTTGCCGGAGGCATACCTGAGCACAGAGGAGGCTGCTGCGGCGGTTGCCGGTGCCGCTTCGGCTCTTGATGCAGACGAGACGAGCGCTGCTTCTGCCTGAGATCTGACCTGTGTTTACCTCAGTGATTCCAATGCTGTCCCACGCAAGGCGGTGAGATTGTTGAACTATTTCCTTGCGAGCGGATACAACATCAGCCAGGTGGTCCGACTGTCCAGTTGGCGGCCGACTTGAGCTCGTGCACTTGTGCACTGGTAGGCGTCTGCGATCGTCTCGACGGCGGTGCGCTGCTGAAGGGGTCCAGGGATCATCTGCAACGACAGCTGCCCCGTGTTGAGCTGTTCTTTGTGCAAGCTGCGAAGCTGCTGTCGCATGGCAGGGTTTTGGCAGCCAAGATGCAGATCTTCAGACTGCAGGCGCAGCATCTGGCAATGGGGCGGGGTCCTAGCAGCACTCCTTCGGGTCAGGCTCTCACTTCCAGGAGCTCTTCCCGCCACGATCCGTTTGGCAGTTGGCATCTCAGCGCTGCGTCTGCTGCGTGGCCTTCTCCAAAACCTTGATTGAAGCCGGCTTGCCGCGCTTGCCACGAGGCCAGCCCTGGATCAGTGGAAGCTTCCCACAGGACACGAATGGACACGAGAGTCACGAGAGGAATGCAACTTACCCGGGGAAGCGGGCTTGAAGAGGGTCTGCAACGTCCATGGCTCCCGCAGCGTTGCCGCACAAAGCAAGGGCAGCCGTAATTAGTTCAGGCAGCAGATCCAAGTTTTGCCTGCCACTGCAGCACACCTTCATGAATGTCACAGACTCAGCAGAGGCCCGCTCACAAGCCTGACAACCACAAGGATAACACACACACACAGCAGCAGAGTGGCCGTGGTGCATTCCTGGCTTATACGGAGACCCGCGCTGGCGCTGCCGGCGATGACGGAGGCTGCAAGGGCCGAAGCCTTGGAAGAACACATCTCATGGCAACAGTAGCAGCATCAGCTTTGGCGGCACTAGCAATAGTGAATCCACGATCATCGCCAGCTCTGTAGTCCTCAACGCGAAACGGCACCGAATCACTTTCAGAGGCATCTGTGACCGTAGTATTGTAGTGCCAAAGTGCCAACACGGGCCTCCGACGGGTACTCCAGTGGCAGCCGCTGCCTGCAGAACTCTTTGGAGAATTCCAGAAAGCCTGCCGTCACAGCTGCAGACCTCTGGGCCTTTTTGTCGCGTATTGAACGCCAAGGCTGATGTCCTTCAACTGCGTTGCTTCCTACGGTGCCTCGGCAGCGTTGCTGGAACCGTTCGGAATTTTGAGCACCTTGTAGCAGACTGGCAGCTGCCTTTTTGTCATCTTGCATGGTCCGGACTAGGCAGCGCTGTGGTACCCTGAAGGCGCACGCTGCCCTGAATCGGTGTGTGTGTGTGGGGGGCCGGGGGGGGGGAAATTTGCAACGTTCTGTCGCTGAAGCTGCTGCGCGGAGACCCGCAGGCCGCATTTGCAGCTCTGGCTGCTTGACTGAATCAACAGAGCTCGTGCACGGGACGGGGTTCGAATCGTTTTTTGGAGTTTGCCGGAATTCCGGTGCACGCCGAGGACTCCTCTGACACCGGCCAGCTGAAGCGTCTCTTGGCCGAAGTGGCACTTTGGAGCTCGAACGGCAAGCGGCAAGTGTCAAGTCGCTGCTAGCCGGTAGCCGAGTCGACGTCCGAGGCGAGGAGTTTGAGAACGGCCTACGAAAGCTCGGCTTTCGAGCAGACGTTGCGGCAGTCTTCAGGAGCATGGACCCGAACAGCTCCGGGCTCGTGAGCCTCAAGGCTTGGCCGGGCCCCCCCTCTCCCCTCGAAGTGTCGCTGCCTCTGTTTCGAGTCTCGCGTGCGCTCGCGAGGCTTTCGTGACGGGCCTGATGGGAGAGCCCGGCATCGAGTCTGCGCCGTCGCGAAACCTCAGGCACTCCTACCACGCAGGCATGAGCACTCCAAGGCTACAGGAGAGCCACCCCAGCCCCCCAGCCGGACCCACTCTGCTACAGAAGGCTCCAGGACCGCACCACGCGGGGCCCAAACCAACGAGCCCCCTGAAGCATGTTGAAGGCGAAGAGAGCTTGGCAACGTTGGGAGCTCGCGTGGCTCAGCTTGAGCTGCAACTTGCAAAGGAACAGCAGAGCCGGGCAGACATGGAGCGGAGGCTTCACCTAGAGTTGGAGCGCCTTCAGCAGCTTATCC